ACCCCTCACTTGCTCTGGTGCTCTTGGGAGGTGTTGATCTTTGGGGTATTTAAATACTCCGAAATTACCATCTCTTTTAAGGGTCTGAGCGGGTGGTGGAGCGGGTTAAGGCGTACCTGTTATGCCAGTTGCTGGAAGGCTTCTGTGCTGGCTAGGGTTCGAGTCTCCTGGTGGGAAAGTGTTCTAAAGTTGTATATATATATATATATATATATATATATATATATATATATATATATATATATATATATATATATATTTATATATATATATATATATATATTGTGTATATATATATATATATTGGCAGCAGCAGACATTTAAGACAACTTTCTTGAAGACATTTGTCATCGAATGTGACAAAGATCCATGATTCTAGCAAGAATCTTCTCACTATATCTTGTGTTCTTCTTGACTTGAGAAGGAAGTTGAAATATTAACTCTCCAAAGTTGTTTTACAAGGTTATGGTCTGACGCTAAGACCGTTATAGCTGTTTCTATTCCGGTCAACATTTTCAAAGGTAGAGGAGATGTGAATATAATTTGAGGCGAGGCATATATCATTGAGAGTGAGGTGGCCAATATAGATCTACAATATGGGGGGGGGGTCAGGGTGCTGGGGGTGAGTCAGTGTGCTGTGGGTGGGTCAGGGTGTTGGGGGGGTGGTCAGGGTGCTGGGGGTGAGTCAGGGTGCTGGGGGTGAGTCAGGGTGCTGGGGGTGAGTCAGGGTGCTGGGGGTGAGTCAGGGTGCTGGGGTGAGTCAGGGTGCTGGGGGTGAGTCAGGGTGCTGGGGGTGAGTCAGGGTGCTGGGGGTGAGTCAGGGTGCTGGGGGGGGGTCAGCATGCTGCGGGTGGGTCAGGGTGCTGGGGGTGGGTCTGGGTGCTGGGGGTGGGTCAGCGTGCTGGGGGGTCAGCGTGCTGGGGGTGGGTCAGGGTGCTGGGGGTGGGTCAGGGTGCTGGGGGTGGGTCAGGGTGCTGGGGGGGGGTCAACGTGCTGGGGGTCAGCATGCTGGGGGTCAGCGTGCTAGGGGTGGGTCAGGGTGCTGGGGGGTGGGTCAGCGTGCTGGGGGTCAGCGTGCTGGGGGGAGGGTCAGGGTGCTGGTGGTCAACGTGCTGGGGGGTCAGGGTGCTGTGGGTCAGGGTGCTGGGGGTGGGTCAGCGTGCTGGGGGGTCAGCATGCTGGGGGTGGGTCAGGGTGCTGGGGGTCAGCATGCTGGGGGGAGGGTCAGGGTGCTGGGGGTGGGTCAGGGTGCTGGGGGTCAGCATGCTGGGGGGAGGGTCAGGGTGCTGGTGGTCAACGTGCTGGGGGGTCAGGGTGCTGGGGGTGGGTCAGCGTAGGACCAAGATGGCGACGTTGGGTGTTTGTCAGAACATCACCCCAGAGGGTGTGTCGACAGTTGAAATCACCAAACAGGAGCACCAGCTCTGGCAAGGAGTCCAGGAGGTGCTTAAGATCAGGAAGGGAAAGCGGAACATTTGGGGGAAGATAAATGGAACCGACCGTATACCATTTACTCACAAAGACACGGGCTGCAGAGCAATGGATAGGCGATGGAAAAAGTAGGGGGGACGAAGGGAATATCAGTACAAATCAAGAGAGCAGAAGAGTTATGGGCCCCAGCAAGAGCTGGGGGGGGGAGAGGGGGGAAGAAAGGAATAACCACGAAAGTGACCAGGACGAGCACCAAGCATTGGTTCCTGGAGACAAACACAAACGGGTGAAAACTGTGTAATCAGAAGTTGGAGTTCATGGAAGTTGGCATAAAATCCACGAATATTCCTTTGAAGAATAATTATAAAAAAGACAGAACAGCAACAGAACAATGAAGAAACAAAGGCAAAGAAGAACACAGTATATTAAATAAGCTCAGGATCAGGGTCAGTGAAAATCAGGGTTAGAGTGCATAGGTAAATTTAGTAAGGATGGAGTGAAGGGAGTGAGAGGACAGACCAGAGGCGGACGGGTAGGATCCGGAGGAGGAGGAGATAACTGAGAGGGGCTGTCAAGGACAGCAGGAGGAGGGGGGGGGCAGAAACCGGGGAGCGCACCTCAGCAAGCGCAGCAATCGAGAGGGAATCAGGGGTGAAAGAAACCTCCATAGCTGGGACAGGGATCCCGACCACTGAAATGTGAGGTGTCGTAGCAATAGAGTCAGAGGTTGGGAGGGGGCGAGGAAGAAAGCGATGCCTTACACGCCGGGGAGGAGGAAGGAGAGGAGCCAGGTTTACGCTTTCCGATTCAAAGAGACAGGTGTTCCAGCAACAACGTACTGGGCGAGACTCAATAGTCTCAGCAGAAGAAGAATGGGGATAAACAACATGAAGATTGCTGGGAGGATGATGGACATCAGCCTGGACAGACAGGCAGCGTGGAGGGCCAAGAGAATGTGGGGAGGGTTGGGAAGAAGGATCGGGGGAAGAAGAGAAAGAAGACACAGGAGACATGGCGAACAGGGTAGGAAAGGGGGAAGGGGGAACTCCAGAAGGAGAATCAGGAGGGAGACCTTTCAGGACAGAACGTAAAGGAACGGGGGAGGTGGTGGTGGGTATGTCTGGGTTCAAGGCCTGGAAAAGGTTTTGGGACTGAGTAAGGTGGGAAGGATGAGGAGAGGTAGAACGCAACACACGAGCTTAAGATACGCCAGTGAAAGGGTGGAGACGGCGGACTTGGCGTCTCACTTCAGGAAAAGTCAAACGATCTCAGTGTTTCAAGTTGAGGACTGCTTCCTGAAACTTATAGCGTATACACGTGTGGGAGAAGGTAGTGTGAGCCTCACCGCAATTGAGGCAGGGAGCCTGGGGAGATGAGCTATCTGTCTTAGAGTGGTCATCACCCGGACACATGGGGCGAGCATTTGAAGGAATCGTGACCGAACTTCCAGCACTTATTACAAAGTCTTGGAGAGGGAATGTACTCCTGAACGGAGCCTCTAACACCAGCAAGAATGATAGAGGGTGGAAGGGTTCTACTATCGAAGTGATTTTCACAACTAGAAGGTGCTCATGGCGACGACCACGAGGGGATCAAGTGAACGTGTCCACCTGGAGGACAGGATGGCCTTGGGCTTCGAGGATATGTTTAATATCCTTATGACAGTCTATTAGGTCCCAAACACCAGTTGCAACATGGTGCAGGAGGAGAACAGTGCCAACACTGGCATTTAACCGAGCGTTTTTAGAGACACCCACCCCACGAGCCTGAGAAGTCATAGGAGGAACAGTATTCAGCGACATGAAAACAAGAGGCAATACCTTCATTCAGGAATGTGACCCCTAACCCTCCACGGAGCCACAATTACAGGACACCCAACAAGAGACATGTTACCGGTCTTGCCGGGGCCCCCCAGGGGTGCGTCGTGTGTATACGCCCCACAATTGCCACCTTAAAAACCATCAGTTCGTCGAGATCGGGTTCAGCGACGAAAGGAGGATTGACAATAAAATTGTTCCCTCACTCGAGACGTTGGGTACTACAGTTCTACGGGTGAGAGAGTATGCCTCCCCAAACACCCGGACATCAAAGCAGAAGTCCAAAAGGAATAATCAAGACTGGCAAAAGGTCAGCAGGAAATGACAATTAAAAAAGGAGAAGTGGGGGGAGGGAGAAAAATGAAACACAAGGAAAAGGAAAAAGATATTGGTGAAGACAGCAGCAGGAGTATAAGGCTACAAAAGGACAGAGGACTGACCCATGGAGCATCACACCCCGGCAGCCGTCCACCAAGCCCCCTCACGACGACAACGGGCCAGAAAGGCAGGTGATGGCGAGATAGCCCCAGTCTACCTGTTGTGGTGTGGTCCAGCGCCTTGGCGTCCACGTGAATAGGAGAGAGGATTCATATTGTGGGCAGAGAAGGGAGAGCTCCAGAGTTTAACACTGAAGACCCCTTACCCATTCTTGACCTCTCTAAGTCGGCGGGGTCCGCTTGCCATGATTTCAGGACTCAATGTCCGCGCGGCCCGGTCCCTGACCAGGGACCAGATTTATGAAGCAGTTACGCCAGCATTTACGAACCTGTACATCTTTTCTCAATCTTTGGCGGCTTTGTTTATAATTATTAAACAGTTAATGAGCTCCGAAGCACCAGGAGGCTGTTTATAACAATTACAACAGTTGATTGGCAAGTTTTCATGTTTGTAAACTGTTTAATAAATGTAACCAAAGCCGTCAAAGATTGAGGAAAGATGTACACGTTCGTAAGTTCTTGCGTAACTGATTTGAGAATCTGGCCCCAGGCCTCCTGGATGCTGGACTGGTTAACCAGGCTGTTGGAGGCGACTGCTTGCGGGTCAGTAGATTCATAATTCTATTCCTGGTGAGTTATGTGCGAGACAAAGTTTTCTGTGGGTCTTATTTAATGTTCAGTAAATACGTCGATCAGGTGCAGGGAGTCGTACAGGATCTTATTTTTTGTTTTTCAGTGACTATAATTATTGGTCATTTAATTCAATTTGAGGTGTGTAAAGACTGAAATATAGACTTCAACTTGTGAATGATTGCCTTTGAATGTGATGTCCTGGAACCTGAAATCATTCTAAAGCCACGAGTGGTACAGTGAGTGAAAGTCGTTCGCTTAAGATAATTTGTTGAATTCCATTATTGAAATGTTAATGTTATTATCATTTAAGAGAAAAGTACAATTTAATGTTTATATTTAAATAAATGAATGCTAGCAGCTTCTATCTCAACTTTTCCCTTCTACCATTAGCTTTCCCTTTCCCTCCCTCCCTCCCTCCACCAGCCTGGCTCCCCCTCCCACCAGCCTGGCTCCCCCTCCCACCAGCCTGGCTTTCCCCTCCCACCAGCCTGACTCCCCTCCCATTCTGCCTTCAGCAGCAGGGTTCCATATTCCTTTATTCCCATGACTGCCATCTTGTTGCCATTCTCCTGCCATCACCCCCTCCCCTACCCCCCCCCTTTCCCCGGTCCTGATCTCCGGCTTTTCTCCCCCCCCCTGAGGTCACCGCCTGACTCACCAAGCTGTTGCTTCCTCCCCGCAGGAAAGTGCCGCCACTGTCACACACGGGCCAAGTACCTGAGGGGTCAGAGCAGCTTTGACTCGGGCTCAGCTGCACGCGGGAGGCCAGCCATTAGCAGCAGCAGCACCGGCAGCTCCCCCAACAACAGCAGCAGTAGCAGCAGCAGCAGCAGCACGGCCAGCGCCAACAACAGCGACGGTGACGGGGGCAACAGCACCAGCAGCAGCAGAAGCAGCAGCAGCAACGGAGGTGGTGGTGGCGGCGGCGGCGGCGAAGATGGCGGTGGCGGGAGTGCCGGGGCCGCCAGCGGCACAGCGGCGTCGCCAGCTGCCAGCAGCAACAGGCTGGTGCGACAGGCGTCGGTGGCGGAGACCAGGAGGAGGTCACGCAGCATGGACAGATACGACGCCTTCAGGGTGACAGGTGAGCCCTCCACCCGTCACCTGGGAGCTGTACTCACTCTTGCTCCGGGTGTACGTTCAGTATACTTCACTCCTCACCTGTGTATACCACTACAGTATACTTCCTGCTGGCTCAGTGAGGTATACTGGCCGCCTGAATACCCTCCAGAGGTTGTTAGACCTTAATAACCCTCCAGAGGTTGTTAGACCTTAATAACTCTCCAGAGGTTGTTAGACATTAATAACCCTCCAGAGGTTGTTAGACCTTAATAAGGTTGTCTGCTTAGTCATTAATAACCCTGCAGAGGTTGTTAGACCTTAATATAACTCCACAGGTTGTTAGACCTTAATTAGTTTGTCTGCTTAGGCCTAAATAACCCTGCAGAGGTTGGTAGGCCTTGGTGATGGGGCCTTAAGCCCAACAACCAATCACTCCGCGTGTAATCAAAACCTCAAATGACCAATAATTACAATGATTTGAAGACAACGATATACACTAATTACCACCTGGGTGAAGGGGGAGGGGGGGGGGGACATGGCCCAATTAACCCTAGAGTCATTAAGCAGAACAGTGAAGTCTTTAACGAGTTTACTGAGTATTATACAGCCTTGTCATACACGGGGGACGCCTTGGGAAAACGCCCAGTCATACACCATACAGTACAGTGTCTCCCACAGTCTATACACCATACAGTACAGTGTCTCCCTCAGTCATACACCATAGCGTCTCCCACAGTCATACACCATACAGTATAGCGTCTCCCTCAGTCATTCACCATACAATATAGTGTCTCCCACAGTCATACACCATGCAGTATAGCGTCTCCCACAGTCATACACCATACAGTACAGTGTCTCCCACAGTCTATACACCATACAGTATAGTGTCTCCCACAGTCATACACCATACAGTACAGTGTCTCCCACAGTCATACATCATACAGTATAGCGTCTCCCACAGTCATACACCATACAGTATAGCGTCTCCCACAGTCATACACCATACAGTATAGCGTCTCCCACAGTCATACACCATACAGTATAGCGTCTCCCACAGTCTATACACCATACAGTATAGCGTCTCCCACAGTCTATACACCATACAGTATAGCGTCTCCCACAGTCTATACACCATACAGTATAGCGTCTCCCACAGTCATACACCATACAGTATAGCGTCTCCCACAGTCATACACCATACAGTATAGCGTCTCCCACAGTCATACACCATACAGTATAGCGTCTCCCACAGTCATACACCATACAGTATAGCGTCTCCCACAGTCATACACCATACAGTATAGCGTCTCCCACAGTCATACATCATACAGTATAGCGTCTCCCACAGTCATACACCATACAGTATAGCGTCTCCCACAGTGTATACACACTATACAGGTGTTGAAAGTTGACTTCCTCACCGCTCAAACTTTTGTTAAATGAATTTCCAAAATTCCTAAACTTTCTTGTCGTCAATAATTAAGTCTGGTCAACAGTTCCCCCCCCTCCCCCCCCTCCCCCCCCCCCCCCCCCCCCCCTCCTGCTGGTTGTATATGATTACTGAGCCTCAGGGTGACGTCCCACACCGTCCTGACGTCACACTGAGCCCCGGGAGTGACGTCCCACACTGCCCCGACGTCACACTGAGCCCCGGGAGTGACGTCCCACTCTGCCCCGACGTCACACTGAGCCCCGGGAGTGACGTCCCACACTGCCCCGACGTCACACTGAGCCCCGGGAGTGACGTCCCACACTGCCCCGACGTCACACTGAGCCCCGGGAGTGACGTCCCACACTGTCCTGACGTCACACTGAGCCCCGGGAGTGACGTCCCACACTGTCCTGACGTCACACTGAGCCCCGGGAGTGACGTCCCACACTGTCCTGACGTCACACTGAGCCCCGGGAGTGACGTCCCACACTGCCCCGACGTCACACTGAGCCCCGGGAGTGACGTCCCACACTGCCCCGACGTCACACTGAGCCCCGGGAGTGACGTCCCACACTGCCCCGACGTCCTAACTAGACTCCAACATCTGTTATTATAACTGGACGTCGTAACAACGCCCCGACGTCTCTTCCTCCTTGACATCTTGGACAACGTTGTGTTGAGGTGAAAGAAACATTCATGTTGACGACGTCACCACTCCGACAACATTCCTTGATGTGGACCCCCCGTCCACATTAACTATTGATGATATTTATTTATGAGCGTTACCATAATAATTTATATAGCTATTGGATTTATTTACTTACCCTGGTCGAACCATTAGAGAAGCCTTCCCAGTTGTCGCCCTGAGAAGATGTCAAGCTGCATGGGTAACAGCTTCTCCCCAATATCAACCTACCCTGGGCTTTGCGCCCCTGGAGAGGCCACTCCAGACCGACAACCAGAGCGCAACTCCATAGTCTCCTGAGACTGGTGGATGCCTACTGATGGACACGGTGCAGGGGAGGCGGGGGCCCGCGGCCCCATCACTGGGGGACAAGCGCGGGTGAACCGTCGACATTGTTGTGGCGGGAAGCGCGCCCTCGCCACTGCTGCGGTAGTCTATTTACCACCACAACCACAACTATGGTGCTCGCCATGGGACAGGTGCAGGGAACACCATGGGACAGGTGCAGGGAACACCGTGGGACAGGTACAGGGAACACCATGGGACAGGTACAGGGAACACCATGGGACAGGTACAGGGAACACCATGGGACAGGTGCAGGGAACACCGTGGGACAGGTACAGGGAACACCATGGGACAGGTTCAGGGAACACCATGGGACAGGTACAGGGAACACCATAGGACAGGTACAGGGAACACCATGGGACAGGTGCAGGGAACACCATGGGACAGGTACAGGGAACACCATGGGACAGGTACAGGGAACACCGTGGGACAGGTACAGGGAACACCATGGGACAGGTTCAGGGAACACCATGGGACAGGTACAGGGAACACCATGGGACAGGTACAGGGAACACCGTGGGACAGGTACAGGGAACACCATGGGACAGGTACAGGGAACACCATGGGACAGGTGCAGGGAACACCGTGGGACAGGTACAGGGAACACCATGGGACAGGTGCAGGGAACACCGTGGGACAGGTACAGGGAACACCATGGGACAGGTACAGGGAACACCGTGGGACAGGTGCAGGGAACACCGTGGGACAGGTACAGGGAACACCATGGGACAGGTACAGGGAACACCGTGGGACAGGTACAGGGAACACCATGGGACAGGTTCAGGGAACACCATGGGACAGGTACAAAGGGCACTATGAGACGGGGGAGCACCGTGGGAGAGGAAGTGCTCCTCGATATAGCTACAGATCCACCGTCCCTCTGTCCCACGCTTCCAGCCTAATCTCCTCTCCCATCACCTCCCATAACAGTCGCCCTTAAAACCTCACCAGCATCCCCCCTTTCCATAGTCCATTTTCAGCGCGCACTTCTCTGCCCCTTCCATCCCTCTTAAAGCTACCCTTCCCTTGTGTTTGATACCCCCACACACCCATCCGTTCTTCTCTCCCTCACTCACCCTTCATGGCGACCGCTTTATAATGGTGCTGATATGATGCTCAATCTCCCGTCTCCCTCCTGAGTCACCCTGTAGGCTGTGGGTATCACAGAAGACGCCAGAGCCACCCTGTAGGCTGTGGGTATCACAGAAGACGCCAGAGTCACCCTGTAGGCTGTGGGTACCACAGAAGACGCCAGAGCCACCCTGTAGGCTGTGGGTATCACAGAAGACGCCAGAGCCACCCTGTAGGCTGTGGGTATCACAGAAGACTCCAGAGCCACCCTGTAGGCTGTGGGTATCACAGAAGACTCCAGAGCCACCCTGTAGGCTGTGGGTATCACCTGGAGCCTCCTGGTAACTGCACAGGGAACACAGGAATCATGAGAACAGGAGTCATGAGAACAGGAATCAATCATGAGAAAGGAATGGAGTTTCAAGGAGATGGTTATCCCAGGCTGTGAAGGGTTTAGAGAATACATAACACGTACCATGACGTGGGAGGACCAAGAGTAGTAGTAGCAGTAATATATAACCCTCCACCAAATGACAGAAGATCAAGTCAAGAGTATGACACAGACAACATGGCAGTTAATAACATAATTGAGAAGGCAGCCTCTGCTGCCTGTTGAAATCGATCCCACCTGCTCATCATGGGCGACTTCAATCACGGAAGGATTGACTGGGAGAACGAGGAACCGCACGGAGGCGAGGATACGTGGAGAGCCAAACTATTGGAGGTGGTGACAAGCAACTTTTTAAGCCAACATGTCAGGGAACCCACTAGGATGAGGGAAAACGATGAACAAGCGAGACTCGACCTAGTCTTCACTCTGAATGACTACGACATAAGGGAAATTGACTTCGAGGCCCCAGTAGGAATGCGCGATCACAGTGTACTGACGTTTGAGTATCTGGTTGAAGAAGGGCTAAAGTACTCGAGAAAGGGAACTCAAAGCAACAGGCTAGCAATCCGTAAGGGAAATTACGAGGAGATAAGAAAATTCCTAACAGATATAACATGGGAATCAGAGCTAAGGGGAAAGACTGCCCAAGACATGATGGACTACATCACGCAGAAGTGTAAGGAGGCAGCAGAAAAGTCTATCCCGGCCCAAAAGGTAAAAAATTAAATGAAGATGAGAAACCCATGGTTTAATCAGAGATGTAAGCTAGCTAAGCAACACAGTAAAAGAGCATGGAGAAACTATAGAAATAACAGGACCCTTGAGAGCAGAGAAGGTTGCCAGAGAGCCAGGAATGAATACGTCAGAGTGAGAAGAGAGGCAGAAGGGCAATATGAGAACGACCTAGCAAGCAAGGCTAAGACCCAACCCAAATTGCTGCACAGCCACATCAGGAGAAAGACAACAGTGAAGGAACAGGTAATGAAACTGAGGATAGGGACAGACAGATTCACTACAAACGACAAAGAAATGTGCGAGGAACTCAATATGAAATTCCAGGAAGTCTTCACATTAGAGCAAGGAGACGTTCCAGAGAGAAGAGAAGGAATAATTAACCAGGCACCACTAGAGGAATTAGAGATTACCAGTGAAGATGTAAGGAAGCTTTTGCTAGAGGTGGATGTGACAAAGGCTATAGGCCCGGATGGAATATCACCATGGATACTAAAGGATGGAGCAGAAGCACTGTGCCTACCACTCTCCATGGTTTATAACAAATCACTGGTAACAGGTGAACTGCCAGAAATTTGGAAGGCGGCAAACATAGTCCCGATATACAAGACGGGGGATACAGGAGGCACTGAACTACAGGCCAGTGTCCCTAACTTGCATGCCATGCAAGCTAATGGAGAAAATTGTGCGAAAAAAGCTAGTCGAACATCTGGAGCGAAGGAACTGTGTCACAACACCAGAGGAGTGGGCAGACTGCATATTTTTTGATTGTCAGAAAGCCTTTGACACAGTGCCACATCAGAGACTAGTGCGAAAGCTGGAGATGCAGGCTGGAGTGAAAGGGAAGGTTCTCCATTGGATAAGGGAGTACCTAAGCAACAGAAGACAGCGAGTCACTGTGAGGGGTGAGGTCTCAGATTGGCGAGACGTCACCAGTGGAGTCCCGCAGGGTTCAGTCCTTGGGCTCATACTGTTTCTTATATATGTAAATGATCTTCCAGATGGTATAGAATCATTCCTCTTGTTTGCTGATTATGCAAAAATTATGAGGAGGTTTAAGACGGAGGAAGAAAGTATGAGATTACAAGATGACCTAGACAGACTGAATGAATGGTCCAACAAATGGCTACTAAAGTTCAACCCGAGTAAATGTAAGGTAATGAAACTAGGCAGTGGAAACAGGAGGCCAGACACAGGATACAGAATGGGAGATGAAGTCCTTCATGAACCGGACAGAGAAAGATCTAGGGGTTGATATCACGCCAAACCTGTCTCCTGAAGCCCACATAAAAAGAATTACGTCTGTGGCATATGCGAGGCTGGCTAACATCAGAACAGCATTCAGGAACCTGTGTAAGGAATCAGAACCTTGTATACCACATATGTAAGACCAATCCTGGAGTATGCGGCCCCAGCATGGAGCCCGTACTTTGTCAAGCACAAGACGAAGCTGGAAAAGATTCAGAGGTATGCCACTGGACTAGTCCCGGAGCTAAGAGGCATGAGTTACGAGGAAAGGCTGCGAAAGATGCACCTTGCAACACTGGAAGACAGAGGAGTAAGGGAAGACATGATCACAACCTACAAAATCCTCAGGGATATTGGCAGGGGTAGACAAGAATAAACTATTCAACACTGGTGGGACGCGAACAAGGGGACACAGGTGGAAACTGAGTACCCACATGAGCCACAGGGACGTTAGAAAGAACTTTTTCAGTGTCAGAGTAGTTAACGGATGGAATGCATTAGGCAGTGATGTGGTGGAGGCTGACTCCATACACAGTTTCAAGAATAGATATGATAGAGCCCAGGAATGGGCTCAGGAATCTGTACACCAGTTGATTGACAGTTGAGAGGCGGGACCAAAGAGCCAGAGCTCTACCCCCGCAAGCACAATTATTTGAGTACAGGGGCTTGAGCACCCCCTGGATCCTCCTGAGCACTGCACAGGGAGCACAGGGGGCATGAGGGTGTTGGGTTGGCTGGCTCTGTACTCACAGCAATGGAGGACCCGACATTCAGGTCAACAGATTCAGGAGACAGGAAACTTGTTTCTCATATTCTGACACACAAGGTTACTATGATGGGAAATATCCCTGCCTGGGGGAATATTTCCCTCTAACGTCTATCACTCACAAGTGCGCTAACGACTTGTAAAAACATATATGCACGTCTTTAGACCGTTTTCTCCTAATTTATATGTAGTAAAGTATTTCTCATGATCCACGTCTCCTCCTCCTGCCTGGCCGCGAGGTGACGTTAACCTCAGTCTACCTCAACAGAGCCTCCGCCGTACTCCTGGGTAGCGCCCGAGGCTCCTGCTGCTGGTGGTGCTGGTGGAGGAGGGCGGGAAGGGGGACGAGACCCGACCAGAGGGCGCGCCGGCACCGTCAGGAGGGCGGAGAGCGAGGACTCAGCCAGGGGCTCCAGGGCGTCTCAGCTCCAGACGCCACCGCCACCTTACGAAGTCGCCCAGAGTCAGGTGAGGGGGTCAGCTAAGCTCACATCTGACCTGGTGATTGGTACCAAGAGGGGACAAAATCAGATCACGTAGATATATAGCAAGATAAAACAGGGTGCCACACACTGGCTGGGGTGGCACCCTGGAGGGTGTGACTGATGCCCCAGGATGCTCCTGGTGGGTGTGACTGATGCCCCAGGATGCTCCTGGAGAGTGTGACTGATGCCCCAGGATGCTCCTGGTGGGTGTGACTGATGCCCCAGGATGCTCCTGGAGGGTGTGACTGATGCCCCAGGATGCTCCTGGAGGGTGTGACTGATGCCCCAGGATGCTCCTGGAGGGTGTGACTGATGCCCCAGGATGCTCCTGGTGGGTGTGACTGATGCCCCAGGATGCTCCTGGAGGGTGTGACTGATGCCCCAGGATGCTCCTGGAGGGTGTGACTGATGCCCCAGGATGCTCCTGGAGGGTGTGACTGATGCCCCAGGATGCTCCTGGAGGGTGTGACTGATGCCCCAGGATGCTCCTGGAGGGTGTGACTGATGCCCCAGGATCAGGGCATGTTGGTGGTTCTCGTAATGGTTCAGAGTTCAGACTGTTGGGTAAAGTGAACTTGTCATGATTGGGGAAAGATATATACAGGTTTCACAAGTGATTGCGTAATTGTTTGATTAATCCTGGACATGGACTGCTAATTGAGACACTCTGTGCACACTTTAATGCACGCACGTGCAGCCACTCTCACGCACGTGTAGCGTGAGAGTGTCCCTGGCTGTGGAACAAGGTGTGTGGAACCTGTTTCAGTTTCAAAGGATAGACTCAAATAGTTGAGACAACTTTAAGTTATCCTACGCTGGTGAAGACCTCAAACTTCAGGAAATGAAACTCCGACTTTAAGTAATTAAGGAGCATTTGCAGACCGGAAATGCTATTACGACCCGGTGGGGGTGGGGGGGGGGAAGGGTCGAGGATATTATAGAGACGTATAAAGGAAATTGGAAACGAGTTAAGAAATTTGGAGATTAATGTATCACATCTCATAAACTGGTTGATTGATTGATGAAGATTAAGGTGGCACGGGCATGAATAGCCCCGTAAGATCTCATAACCTGACCAACTAGTAGTGTGTAGGCGCTGGCACCAGAGGTGGTGACCCTGGCACAGGTCAGTGCCACTCTGGTGTTGTTACAACACTCCCACTACACCCAGTACACCTCTTTAACATTTTTCTCATTTCTCATTTTTTTCTCAATTCTCATTTTTCTCAAGTACAAAATCAACGCATTATTCTAACTATAAATATTTTTTTTATGTATTAAACAAAAGATTATAATTATATAGTTAATATAATATATATGTTATATATTGCTGGCCCAAGAGTGTGTGAGTGGGGTGTGTAAGTGTATCAATAAGTGTATCAGTTTACACTCCCCCCCACACACACACTGCACCCCTCCAAGCTACTGACAGTCCGTCGTGTTTCAGTCGTACTACCAGTTCCCGCCAAGCTACGAGGAGGCGTTGGCCAATTCGATGTCTGCAGTACGACTAGCCGGAGGTGGAGCCGCCCCTGCAGCAGCGCAACCGCCCACCAGAGACCCCACGCCCACGCCCACCTCCACCATACGCTCCTTCCTCACCTCTAGCGTCTCCTCTCAAGGTCAGCCTCTCGAGTGTAACTCAAACTCCAGTTGCTTCTATTCATATTCAAAGTGGTTGAATGTGTTAAAAACTGCTCTCAGTCGCTTGCGAGCGCTTAAATGCCCTCCCCCCCCCCCCGTAGCCTGGAGGTGATTTAAGGCTGGAAAGTAAATAACATGTTCGGATCGAGAATTTGCATTCTGTAGCCTCTTGCAGTCGCCCCGGGAACCACCGGGTCTACTGTATTATGAAATACAGCGGGTTCGTGCCATGCCTTTGCAAAATTATAGCAATAATATGCAAAATCTTCCCCCCTACAAATCTCTTCCATTTTCAGCAGAGCCTATAATTCTGTGATATAGTTAATATAGTGATATAGTTATAGTGATATAGTTAATTATAATACTTATGGATATCTGTAAATACCTGAAATTATCATCAATATCCACAATTCATATATATTCATGCATACGATGATGAGAATGTTCATCTGTAATATATCTTTGTGATATAAATTATATATTAAATTGTCAATCACCAAACAAATTATTTTAAGCAATTATAAATACATATAAATTAAGCCCCGCTTAATACAATCGTATTAATACAATTGTAATAATAAATACAATTGGGCCCTTGCTTACTAGGCCAAGTAAAGCGCTCTGGCTATTAGGCACGACATTATATGATATTTATAAATATACATGTATAATTATTACATTAAATTCTATACAAAATTAAATAATTATACGTAATCAGTGACCATTATATTGAATCTTATCAACAACATGTGATTAACGATAATCAATGTTGATTATATATATATAATTGGTAATTATATAATTACCAATTAAATATATGATCTAAAACAATTTATAATTATATATATTCATATGTTAATGTTTATAATCTTTTTCTAATATTTATGATGCCATAACAACCTGTGATTGTTTCAAGACAAACTCATCAACTAATAAGGGACGACGAGGGACCATAGAGCCAGAGCCAGGGACTGCAGAGTAGGGATCATAGAGCAGTGGGCTCTGTAGTGAGGATACCGGGCACATGGGAGCAGGACCGGGCACATGGGAGCAAGACAGGGCACATGGGAGCAAGGCCGGGCACATGGGAGTAAGACCGGGCACATGGGAGCAGGACCGGGCACATGGGAGTAAGACAGGGCACATGGGAGTAAGACAGGGCACATGGGAGCAAGACAGGGCACATGGGAGCAAGACAGGGCACATGGGAGCAAGACAGGGCACATGGGAGCTGGACCGGGCACATGGGAGCAGGACCGGGCACATGGGAGCAGGACCGGACATAATAACCAGGTTATGCCCGGTATAACCTGTGTTGCCCCTCCACAGTGGCGCTGTTACCGGTGGGACTGCTGGCAAGTCGCAGCTCCCGCGTGCTGGAGGAACAGGCGGCGGTGCTGGAGGCGCAGAGGGAGGCGCAGGTGGAGGCGCAGCGGCAGGCGCAGAGAGAAGCGCAGAGAGAAGCGCAGCTGGAGCGTGAGCGGGACATGGAACGGCAGCGTCTAAGAGAACTCCAGTTGGCGCAGTACTGCGGCTGTGCAAAGTGTCAGGTGGGTGGGGCTATAGGGCCTGGGGTAGAGGGGCGGGGTGGGGCGAGGGCTGGGAGTAGGGGGGCGGGGCGAGGGCTGGGAGTAGGGGGGCGGGGCGAGGGTTGGGAGTAGGGGGGCGGGGCGAGGGTTGGGAGTAGGGGGGCGGGGCGAGGGTTGGGAGTAGGAGGGCGGGACGAGGGTTGGGAGTAGGGGGGGCGGGGTGGGGCGAGGGTTGGGAGTAGGGGGGGCGGGGTGGGGCGAGAGTTGGGAGTAGGGGGGGCGGGGCGAGGGCTGGGAGTAGGGGGGCGGGGCGAGGGCTGGGAGTACGGGGGGGTGGGGCGAGGGCTGGGAGTAGGGGGGCGGGGCGAGGGCTGGGAGTAGGGGGGCGGGGCGAGGGTTGGGAGTAGGGGGGGGGCGGGGTGGGGCGAGGGTTGGGAGTAGGGGGGGCGGGGCGAGGGCTGGGAGTAGGGGGGCGGGGCGAGGGCTGGGAGTACGGGGGGCGGGGCGAGGGCTGGGAGTACGGGGGGCGGGGCGAGGGCTGGGAGTACGGGGGGCGGGGCGAGGGCTGGGAGTAGGGGGGCGGGGCGAGGGCTGGGAGTAGGGGGGCGGGGCGAGGGCTGGGAGTAGGGGGGCGGGGCGAGGGCTGGGAGTAGGGGGGCGGGGCGAGGGCTGGGAGTAGGGGGGGCGGGGCGAGGACTGGGAGTAGGGGGGCGGGGCGAGGGCTAGGAGTAGGGGGGGTGGGGCGAGGGCTGGGAGTAGGGGGGCGGGGCGAGGGCTGGGAGTACGGGGGGGTGGGGCGAGGGCTGGGAGTAGGGGGGCGGGGCGAGGGTTGGGAGTAGGGGGGGGCGGGGCGAGGGCTGGGTCTCTAAGGCAGGTACAGCAGCCAACGTGTACTTTACTGCAGCAGGTTATTGTCAAGATTAAGCTACTGGGAACAAGAAGTTCCAAGTAGCACGGGCTATGGTGAGCCCGTAGTGGACTTACCTGGCACAGGAGCGGGGCAAGTAGCACGGGCTATGGTGAGCCCGTAGTGGACTTACCTGGCACAGGAGCGGGGCAAGTAGCACGGGCTATGGTGAGCCCGTAGTGGACTTACCTGGCACAGGAGCGGGGCAAGTAGCACGGGCTATGGTGAGCCCGTAGTGGACTTACCTGGCACAGGAGCGGGGCAAGTAGCACGGGCTATGGTGAGCCCGTAGTGGACTTACCCGGCACAGGAGCGGGGCAAGTAGCACGGGCTATGGCGAGCCCGTAGTGGACTTACCTGGCACAGGAGCGGGGCAAGTAGCACGGGCTATGGTGAGCCCGTAGTGGACTTACCTGGCACAGGAGCGGGGCAAGTAGCACGGGCTATGGTGAGCCCGTAGTGGACTTACCTGGCACAGGAGCGGGGCAAGTAGCACGGGCTATGGTGAGCCCGTAGTGGACTTACCCGGCACAGGAGCGGGGCAAGTAGCACGGGCTATGGTGAGCCCGTAGTGGACTTACCTGGCACAGGAGCGGGGCAAGTAGCACGGGCTATTGTGAGCCCGTAGTGTACTTACCTGGCACAGGAGCGGGGCAAGTAGCACGGGCTATTGTGAGCCCGTAGTGTACTTACCTGGCACAGGAGCGGGGCAAGTAGCACGGGCTATGGTGAGCCCGTAGTGGACTTACCTGGCACAGGAGCGGGGCTCTATATTAAACCTACAATAGAGATGTTAGCCTCCATCTTTGAATTTGACTTTGAGTGACAATCTTCCTGTTCGGATGTTCTAGTGTATGCATGTGCGTGTATTAATAAATATACAAATATGTGAAATTGCGTGTAATTATATTCATATATATATTATGGCTTACTGCGCATTTATTAAATATTATATATGGATGATGATGTGTGTATGAATACTGAGACCATACATGACTGACCTGTGGTTGACCTCAACAGAGCTTGTACTACAGCTACTACTACGACGACGCCATGAACGACGGGGGAGCTTTCCCGATGGAGACCCAGGTGCTGATGCAGGAGGTCCTCACCGATGGCCTTGCCTTCTGCTCCATCATGTAGCTCCGCTCGTCTCCAACGGCGTCCAAGCTCTCCCACAAAGACGCTCCAACTCCACAAGGATGTCTTGGATCAACACAAACTGTTTCACGAACGCATCCAAACTTTGTCGAGATGATTTGGTTCTCCACGAAACGCGTTATAAATGTATTTTTAGATCCCACATAATTGCTGTCAAAGGTTTATGAAACTACGTAGTTTTCTAAGGGCGTTCTAGCTCTTTACTGTGGCTCATCTCCCCCATCGATGTCTTCAATGAACCCCCAGCTCCCAAAGGAAGTCTTGAAGGCAGCTCAACTCCCAATTAATGTCTTTAAAACCACCTTATCAAAATCCTCAATGTCGTTCCACTTGTTCAAGGTGTTGAAAGCCTTTAAGAACATCCTTATGATGTGCTTAAAGGCTCCTGTCTTCTAAGGCATACGAGCTCTCCAGAAGCGTTTTAGTATCCAAGCACTCGGAGGCGTCTTAGGTTCCCCAACCTGCCCCAATAACCATGAAATTAGAGCTATTGGGATAATGATATCTAGAGTGAATTAGACAATTAAAGCCGCGACAATATAGACCTTGACTTTCATACTTGTAATCAGTGATAAAAATATTATGAACAATTTACAATATTGACAATGAAAATTCATATATTTCAAATAAAATGAAATATTCGCGATTACTATTGATAAAAGTTATACTATATTTCGTATAATTAAAATACCTTAAAATGTTTGAGCACTGGAATGTCGTGAAGCGAGATGCAAGTGACAACATTCAGTCCCACAAAACACTGGTTATGCACTAATGTGAATGAAGACATTAATCAAACAAACACTAGGGGGAATTATTTGTATACCTTTAGTAGAAAAGTGAAATGAAACGGAATATAAAATCCATCTCTAGCATAACCCAAAACTCTAAGAATTCATTACGAAAGCAGAAAGCTTCGCCAAGCTGCAGTAGTGGTAGTGAGGAGCAGGCAAACGCTTGAAGCAGTCAGTGTGATCAGTAGTATTAAGCTGGCATTGTGTGTGTGTAAAAGGTCAGCTTAGGTCTAGCTAGCACTGCCACAGGCTAAGTAATGCTAGAACTAATCTTAAAAATGCATTTTTTATACCAGCATCAAGGTTTATGTTGGTGAAAGGTATCACTGCCCCTAACTCCATACCACACAAGTCTCCAGTAGAGACTGTGGTGGTTGCCTCACCTTACACACACCCACTTTAATAATGGTGAACCACAAACCTGGGGCCAGATTCACGAAGCAGTTACACAAGCACTTACGAACCTGAACATCTTTTCTCACTCTTT